AGGGTGGGAGACTAGTGAGCTGGAACCCAAGAGAACATTTTGGGGTGAAACAAATGTTCCATATCTTTGTTTAAGTTTATTTATTTCTAAAACAAAGAGAGAGAGAGAGAGACTGCTGGGGAGGGGTAAAGAGAGGAGAGAGTAAGAGTCCCAAGGAAGCTCTGTGCTGTCAACATGGGGGTCTGATGTGGGGCTTGGACTCACAAACCTGAGCCAAAATCAAGAGTTGGACACTTAATTGACTGAGCCACACAGGTGCTCCTGGAAATGTTCCATATCTTGATTGTGGTGATGGTTATGTGTGTCTGAAAATTTGTTAAAATTCATTGAACTGTACCCTTAATCTTGTACACTTACTGTGCACTCAGCATGGGCGCATTATATTATTTATAAATTATACTTCAGTAAAATTTACAAGGGAAACCGTCAGCACTCTAGCAATAGAAAGTAGAACTTTCATACTAGTGGAAGGGGATGTAGAGGAAAGAGAATTGAATCAGGAGGCAAAAAATAGGAGGGTTAGATGATACCTGCCTGAACCAGAGACACAGGAGTACTTGGGCCCTATTGTGAAGCCCTCAGCCTGAGTCCAGAGGACTGAGTGGGGGTGGGTAGAGCAGGGAATATGGCCTGCAGTAGACCAGAGCAGGCCAAGCTTAGACAACTGTACCGTTTACACTCCCCAAATTATTCCACTGTGTGACATTTTGTGACCAACACTCTGAGGTCAAAGGATAAAGAGCTACAGAAGACTCGCAAACTCCAGCTAAGCAGCCAGACACTGTCTCAAAAGCAATTGCCCACCTCCTTTCCACAGCCTACTCACGCCCTCCCCACCTGATTGCCCCTCCCCTACTCATATTTTCTTCCTTCAATCTTTTTCTGACTTCCTCGAACCTTGCCTCCTTTTATCACTTACCTTTCCATGCTCGCCACCTAGTGGTGGCAATTAAACTTAAACTGTCTAGGGGTACCTGATTGGTTCAGTTTGTTGAGCATCTGACTCTTGATTTATTTCAGCACAGGTCATGATCCCAGGGTCATGGGATCAAGCCCCGTGTCAGGTTCTGTGCTAAGCATGGGGCCTGCTTGAGAATCTCTCTCCCTCTCCCTCTGCCCTTCCCCAGCTCATGCCATGCATGCACAGGCTCTATAAGATTAGATAGATAGATAGATAGATAGATAGATAGATAGATAGATAGATAGATAAAATGAAAAGCCTAATTAAATGGCCTATTATATATATTTTTTCAAAACCAAATTTGACTAAAGTAAAAGGTTTTTAATATATGTGGGCTCCTCGTTGCTTAATATTTTCTGCGCCTCAGTTGTCCTAATGGAAAAAACTTAATCCCCACCCCTGAACTCCAGGGATTAGCCTCACTTACTTGCAGGACAGCCCCCGAGTAGACCCCTGCCTCCTGCATGGAGAAGGGTGCTGGACTCCCAGCCCTGTTCCATGTTCCTGTAGGTTTTCACGCACTACAGAGGGAGTGCTTGAGGGGGAGATGGATGCATGCAGAGTCATGCAGGGAGTCCTCCTTTCCTCCTCTCCAAAAATGACTCCATCTGAAATGAGGGAGCTTCCATTTAAACTCTCAGCAAAAGAATGGAGTAGCAATGAGGCAATAAGCTTCAGGGCCTGAGCTCTGGCGAAGGTGGGGGTGCACCCATGCCAGACAGCCACCTGCCAATACCTGTGGCTCCCCTCCCAGGGCTATGCCAGCCAATGATTGAAGACAATACTTCTCTGGGCACCTGGATGGGTCAGTCAGTTAAGCATTCAACTCTTGATTTCAGCTCAGGTCATGATCTCACAGTACATGGGTTTGAGTCCCTCATTGGGCTCCATGCTGACAGTGTGGAACTTGCTTGGGATTCTTTCTCTCTGCCCTTCCCCCACACATGCAGAAGCTCTCTCGCTCTCTCTCAAAATAAATAAACTTTTTTTAAAATATAAAATTCTTTTCTTTCTTCTCTTTCTCTGTCTCTCCTTTCCTTCCTTTCTTCCTTCTTCCTTTCCCTACCCCTCCACCCCACCTTGCACCTCTTTCCTTTCTCTGTAGGAGACTCTTGTGAATGTCTGGAGATATATCTGAAGAAGCAAGGAGGCCAATATTTGAACCAGCCTCTTTTCTCACATTCCTTCAGCTAAGACTATGGGTTCAGGGCTTCCCTGCAGCACAACCCCATGGGGCAAATTCATATCATCACTTCCTACGAATGGCACCCCCTTGAGTTGTGTAGTATATAACCTGTGCAGACATACATGACACCTTGGTGGCCACCCTTTTCTTCTTTTGTGTGATGAGAGAGTCTGACAAGTTGAGGAATGATGTTCCTGCCTCTGTGTTTTTGCCCAGCCTCAGGATGAATCAGGCTTACAACTGTCTTTTTATGGCCAAATCCTTCCAACCTGGTCACCCTCAGGACCTTGAAATATGTTATTGGCCATCTTGGGCCAGGGTTGGAAATGGGACATAAATGCAGTAGAAATCGACTCTGATCCCTCCTCACCTAGGAGCAGGAGCCGAACTGGCCTGGTCATCCTTGACCCTTAGAGTCTGGTTGGCTCCCAGATTCAGTATTGGTGATGGTTCCTCTTTCCCTGGCTGCGGTTACCCCTGCATCTGCTAACCAATTTCCTGGCTAGAGACCAGCCTCCCCATCCTTGTCTCATTATGTCTTCCCAAACCCGATCTGAGCCAAGGTGGCATTTCCTACATTTCTGTGTAAATCGAGTTACCTACCAATTCTGCACAAGCCCACGTGCCTGCTTCCTTCATAAAACCCGCTGGCCTGGGACAGCAGATACCAGCCACCACAACCCTGGCGTGGTGATCACACAGCGAAGCAGAGAACTTGTTGTGTACAACTTTGCATATGTAAGTGCATTTTTCTTTGGAGAAGGTCCATGGCTTCCATCAGCTTTCCAAAAAGGTCCAAATGGGTTAAGAACCACTAGAGTACAGTGTTGCAAATCTTTTCATGATTAGTAGGTAATGATCCATCTCTTTAGAATGTAAGATCCCATTCACTTATTTATCAAATATTTATTGTACATCTACTATTGGCCAGACACTGCTTTAAACACTGAAGATATAGTGGCAAACAAAAAAGACAAAAAATCTCTACCCCCCGGGGCCTTACTTTTCAAGAGCCAGAGACAGCCCATGGCTATATGAGGCATTAAAGACAAACTGAAGATTCTAAGTTTTGAGCTCCATGAAGATCTTAGAACTCAGAACTCTCTGGGTTCCAAGTTCTAAGAAATCTACAAAGTTCTAAGTTATGAACTATGGAGGTCTTAATAAGTACTAATGATGCCAGCACAGGGGTGGTGATGACAAGTGGCCATAGCAGGAACTCAGGGGCCAGCCTGGGGCTACCCCAAAGGGAATCTCTCATTGCTGAGCCAAGAGATAGTGGTGACGATATATGATGATGGGCAGCAATGGTTGGGAGGTAGGAGAGAACCAAACTGTCTCCTACCCATGCCAGCCAAAAGCACTGGCCCTTCGGAGATCCAGTTCCTTAGCCCTCCTTGCTCATGTCCATCTGGAGGCCTGGGGGTCCCAGGCCAGGCCAGGCTGGGGACACAGGCTGGGGCCACCTTTCTCCCAGCTAGGAGCCAGAACAAGGGCCTTCTTCCCAGAGTCAGGATGGGTGAGGCTTCCTTGCATAAGTGTCCCTGACCAAAAAAGGAATTGTGACTTTGGTTCTGGAGAGGATGGGGAGGGAAGGCTATGGCCCAAGAAAGCACTTCTGGAAGAGAACGTGGGAGGAGCAAGTGTCCAAGTGAGTATGACATCAGGGCCACTGAAGGACCCCAGGCAGCTCAGCACTCGGCAGGGTGGAGATGGGGAGAACAAGGCCACAGAGGCCAAAGGCCAGAGGGCCCCCAGATCGTGCCTAGTCAGGGTGGACCCCCCTCTCCACAGACCTGAAATCTGCTCATGCTGAAGAGACTCTAGCTATTCAGAAGGTCCCAGGTGGGTCAGCAGAGATGAAAAGCAGGGAGAGAGAGGGGCAGTTTGCCCAGATCATAGCATGCATCTGTGAAAGAGGCAGGAACCCAGGCCTCCAAGTTCCCAGCCAGACCCCTCTATTACTGCCCATCCCTGGCCCACAGACAGGTGCTCATCAGCCCCACCCTCACAAGCAGAACACACAGCCATGCAGGCACACACACACTCTGCTCCCTCATCAACAAATGCATGCTGCCTGCTCTAGACATACCCATTGAGCTTCTGGGAATGGCGAGACTATTTACAGGAGGGGGAAGCTGTACGCCTGACAAGAGAGTGTGGCCCGAATGTAAAGAGTAAAGCATTAGTAATTAGCAGGGAAACATGAGGACACCCACCAGCCAGCATACCCTCTCAGCCTTCAGGAGGCTGGGCAGAGAAGGATGGTGAGCAGTGAGGTGAGGGGGCAGGCAAAGCCAGAGGTGAAGGAGAGTCGGCAGGCAGGAGGATGGAGTTTCTGATCCAGACTGACAACCCAGGAGGTCTCACTTTATTTCTGATAGCACTGAGCACTGCATCCAGGAGCCCCGCCATTTGCAGGAAGTGTGGATTAGAGGGATGAGGCTCAACCTGCTTTCACAGCTCTCAGTCTGGTGAGGGTCTGAAGACCTGGGCCCCCTAAGGTCCTTTTGGGTTTGGGGCAGGCCCTGGGGCTAGATTGTTGCCTGATTCCCTCTACGCTCCAAAGTAAAATGAGCACTGCTCACTTCTGCCCCCCTCCCCAGGAGGCCTGGGGAGAGACATCCTCCCCCATTGTCTCCCAGAAACACACATGAGAAGAGCCCAGCCCCAAAGCCAAGCTGCTGTTCTGCAGGAGCTTTCTGGGGCCTGGAGGACCTAAAGCGGGTCCCTGTAACATGGGAAGCAGAGTCTACTCCCCCCATCACCAAGCCCCAGGCTGGAGCCCATAGTCACTCCCCTCTCTCACAGCCCTCCAACTCCAGCTGGTTGGCCTCCAGCCCTGCCCCCAGCCTACTGTCGCTCCAGAGCCAGCCGGAGCGCATGCCTCAGGGTCTCCACATTGTTCAGAACATTGTATCGACTCAGAGCCACCAGCCGCTCAAACTCCTTGGGTTCATAGGTGAAGTTCATCATGCCATACGGAGTGTCTGCTCCATTGACCACAAAGTCCCCGTCGGCCTTCTCCTCAGCCGTTTGTCGCTCCACACCTAGGGGTGGGAAGTGGCAAAGAGGCCAGGCTGGGACTGTCTGTGGCTAGGAGTGGCCAGCCCAGAAGCCCCCACCCTTGCCCTAGGACTTCTGGGTGGACCCGCATTTCAGCTCCTTCTGTCAGGAAGAACTGGGCCAGTGTGGATGCTGAGGCCCCAGAAGCAGACGGCGGCAGACGCCAGCTCAGGCCTTCCAGGAGGCATGCCATCCAGGAAATCCACTCTCAGAACGGCACCCACCACCACTCCTAGGCTGTTTGGGCCAGACCCCAGCCCACGGCCTCTCCTCACCTGGGGCCAGGTGTGTGCGGAAGGTACGGTTGACGAGGGGGAAGTGCAGTACAATGGGAGAGCGGGGGTCCTTGGCCTTGGCAAACAGGTAGCACTCACGGGGTTCCTCCAAGTCCTCAGGGAGCACCTCGATACTTGGGAAGGGGATGCCTCGGTCCAGGCAGTACTTCTCTGTCATCTGTAAGACCTGGGCAGGGAGGCCAACTTTGGACCTTGCCTCAGGCTGCCTGCACTCACACAGCCGACCCACTAGCTGGGTGACTGCCGGGTGAGTTAGATGGAGAGTCAATGTCTTTATTTACTTAATAAAGACAGGAATAACTCTAGCAAGGGGTGGTGCAGATTAAGGACCATCATCAGTGTTCCCAGTGTCATTCCTCTGCTTCCCTTCTCTGGCTCCTCCCTGCTCCCTCTTAGGGGCTGATTTCAATGTCACCAGATGGAGACATAATGGTTACAGAAGGTCGTGTGGGAAGAAGCTTTATTCGTCATCTAATCCCAAGCTCTCCTTAGACCCAGGAGGATAAGGAGGAGGAAGCCAAAGAGAGAAGGGCTGGCCCAGCAGCTCGACCAGAACGCTCATCCGGATGGTGAAACCTGTCCACTACCAGACAAGGTTTGAGGGAGCTGCCCCTGGAGACTTCCCGAGGGGACCTGATGGTAACTAAGGGACAACAGACCCAGACCCCCGTCCGGACGGGAGCAAAGAATGCTATCAGGACAGGCAGGGGCCAGAACAGGAGCCTTCTCTTCACCAGGATGGGAGACTTCTAGTACCTTCTTTGGCTTCTTCTTCCCCCTCCCCCTCCATCCCATAGCCTCAGCAATCCCCCTCCTTCAGCTGGGGAGACCAGTGCCACTAAAGATCTTCACAGGGTGCCCACCCTTGGATTAGAACCTAGGCCCTCCATGAAAGGCAATCCCCAAATGCCCAGCTGGGCCGCCCCAGCAGAGACCCTCAGTTCCTCCCCACTACACACCTTACCTCAAAAGGGGCCTCCAGGGAGTAGTCAAAGGACAGAATGAGGTCCACTGCTCTCTGGGGCAGTAGGCTGAGTGGGAACGGAGAGTTGATGGCAAAGCCCCCATCTACCAGGTACAGGCAATCCCGCATGGGAGTGAGCTGATTGGGGAAGGCATCAGGGTGCATATCTGCAATAGGGACAAAGGCTTGCTCTTCTCTCTCTGTAGAGATCTCTCCTCCCCTTCTGATGACAACAGAGTCTCCCACCCCAGCCCCTGGCCCTGCCTCCTGGCAGACATCCCAGTCCCTCTCCGTCGGCCCCTGGGCAGCAGGAGCCCACAGTGCAACCTCTGGGAATAAAGGCAGTGCTGGCCCCAGTGAGCCAGAGGCAAAGGCAGCCCGGGGTGGGGGGAACCCCCACCCAGAGCAGCACCCACCTTTCCAGGCCACAAACTCCCGGCCAGCCACATAGTCTTTGTGTAGGCAGAGGCCCCTGGTGAAATTAAAGTTCTCCGCAGAGGTGAAGCGGGAGGTGAAGATGTCCAGCACGGTCTGGGAGAAGGGCCCCTGGGGGGTGAAGAGCCTGGTCCGCAGACATGCAGGATCATGCAGCTGGAGTTTCTGGCAGTCATCTGGATGGGGTGCGTGGGTGAATATAGTTGGAAGTGGTGCTGTCCATTCTCCAGTGGCCCCTATGGTCCAGGGGACCCCTTCTGTCTCCCCCCACACTCACCCCTCCTTCACCCCACCTCCCAAGCCTCAGACCACTGCTTTTCAGAACCTCTTTTAAATGACCTTTTCTTTCAGTTTCCCTATATTTTGAAAGTTTCCTATGACATTGTATTTATTACACAATAATTTATATCCCCCTTTGAAAATAAAGATGTATATGGGGCACCTGGGTGGCTCAGTTGGTTAAGTGTCCAACACTTACTTTCAGCTCAGGTCACGATCTGTGGTCGTGAGATCGAGTCTGGCATGGGTCTCTGCACTGAGCTGAGCCTGCTTGGGATTTTCTCTCTCCCAGTCTGTATCCCTCCCTCCCTCTCTCTCTGTCTCTCTTAAAATAAATAAATACATTTTTAAGAAGTTGCTACAGTCTAAAAAAAAATTATTTTTAAAGAAAACAAAGCTGTATGTACAACTTCCAATCACAATTTCATCCATTAAACACCTACTGAGCAGTTACTGCGTGCTGGGCACGGTGCCAGGCACAAGCCCCTCCAGGACTTAGAGCCTCATTAGGGGAGAGTCACATAAGAGATCAGAAATCATAACAGTGCCCCAAGGTAAGGACAATGATAGGGTGTGCACATAGTCCTATGAAACTTTGGTGCTGGAGGGATGGAGTGGAAGAGAGAAGCCCCCTGACATAAAAAATTATGTCTGAGCTGAATCTTAAGGGATGAGCAGAGGTTATCCAGGGAAGAAAGGCGGAAGATGTGTTCTGTGCAGCAGGGAGCTCATAGTCCACTTAAGGAGCAGTCCAAACAGGAGCCCTGAGGTATGTGGACAGACACCCACCAGATGCCTAGCGGTCCTGGGCTGCACTGACATAACTGAAACCCAAGAAGAGAATTCAAAGGTGTAGCCTTACTACAGAGCACTCACAGCTCCCACTGGCTTTTCTCATGTGGGCCTTCCCCTGGTCCCCCTGGCACACTGCCTCTGCAGACCTCTGGGCATCCACAGACTCTAAGCTACAAGTCATTTCCTCGGGACTTCTCTGAACCCAGTGGGACAGTTGAGTCCTGCATCATCCTCTCCCTCATCCTTTGTGCCTCGGCCAGGGCCCTGGCGCTGGGAATAGCGGGTACGGGGAGGTCAGGGTGTCTACCTGCACCTGTGTTGTTTACATTCCCTCTGTAACAGTCTAGGAAGCTGAGGCCCGAGCCAGCAGTCTTCAGGAAGATCTCATCCACGCTGGCTGCGAAGGCGCTGCCCCACACACCTAAGCAGAAAGGCAAGGCCCTGGGCCCTCACATCTCCAGCCGGCCTCAGGGCCTGGCCCAGCCCCTGCCCTGGCCCCAGCCCTCCAGCCCAGACTCACCCTGGAGGTAGCAGATCCGGGGCTCAGGTCGGGGCTGCAGCAGACGCCCCATGAAGAACTCAGAGCCAAAGAGCTCGGTGGGAACATAAGCCCCATACTTGGGGAAGCCGACCTCATGGGGGGTGAACTCACACCACTCTGGGGGCCCAGAGCGAAGGGAATGTCACCAGGGGCCTTCCACCAGGACCCCAGGGTCTCCCGTCACACCTGAGTGCCTGAGCGGGAATCTCACTTGCCAAGAAGAGGAGGCAGCAAGCCCGCTGTGGGCCACGGCTCCCATCTGTACACTAAGAACGCTGGCCCCTCCCACCTTCCTACCAACCATCGTCTCCGCCTGCCTCCCAGGTCCCTGCACCCAGGCACCTGCAAAGTCTTCCCCGCTGATGTTGGTGTGGACATTGATGCTGGCGTAGATAGGGTAAGGGTTCTGGCCCTGGCTGATGGCCTCCTGCTGGTCAGACAACTTGGCAGGGTTTTTCTGGTAGGAAGGAAAGGAGGCACTTGGCTTTTGGGGTCCCCCTTCCCCCCATCCCCATGGCCTGAGGCCTGATACCCTGCAGGGTATGCCGTGCCCACAAGAGACTATGACTGCCAAGGCCAAAGCTCTAGAGTCAGCTCTCTAAGGACGAGGCTTTAGGCTGCAGCAAAGGTAAGGCCACTGAGGGTTTTGTGCAATTCCAGGGGCATTGGGAGCACTCCTCACTTGTTTCCTGTTCCAGAAAGCATATTGGAACCCAAGGGAGTCGGTGACATTTCTTTATTTTTTTTGAGTCAGTGACATTTTTAAAGGAAAAATTGAAAACCCAGTTTACTTTCTTTAAAAAGTAAATCATTTGAAAATGTGAATTCTTTTCTTAGACATGAGAAACCACTGTGATAGAAGTCCACAACTGAGAGCCACACACCAGTGGGCCAGGCTCCCAGGGCTGAGAACCCTGTTGGGCTCTTAATACTCTTGCCTCCCAGCTAATGCCCAGCCTGCAGTTCTAGAAGCGGCACGGCAGCTGGGCCAGCACACTGCAGGTGGAACGCTCCCAAAACACACCTGTGCTAGAGCTCGACCCCAGACCAGCCCAAATCAATATCTCTGGGAGTGGGTTCCCAGGCAGAGGTGTTTTTGAAAAGCTGTGTAGGTGGGGTGCCTGGGTGGCTCAGTCCCTTCTGCTCAGGTCATGATCTCGCGGTTCATGGGTTCGAGCCCCACATGGGTCTCTATGCCGACAGCTCAGAGCCTTGAGCTTGCTTCAGATTCTGTGTCTCCCTCTCTCTCTGCCCCTCCCTCCCTCTCTCTTTCTCTCTCAAAAATAAACAAACATTAAAACAATTTAAGAAAAGAAAAGCTGTGCAGGTGATTCTAATATGCAGACAGACCTGAGAACTGAAGACCAGCCTCTCCCTTCCCTGGGTGAGGAGCCAGGAATAATGAAGCAGTGTCAGCCCACCCAGGAATCCACCTCTTGTCCTCAGACAGCTCAGACCTAAGGGATCTCTTTGCAAATCTTAGGTCTTAGCACAGCACCAAGGCAGAAGTAAGTGCTGCTGTGGGGGCAGGGGTGGAAAGGAGCCGTGTTTATTTATTATCTGCTCTTACCTCCTGGTAGAGGAAATACTCAATGAGGAGACCCCAGATGTCGATGAGGGAAACTTTGTGGCCAAGGCTTTCCAGGCTCCCCAGTTCCTGGGCGTAGTACTGTAGGCGCTCCGTGGACATTGCCCCTATCTTACTGCTGCAGACCCGAGCCTGGGCACGCTCAATGGGGCCCTGCAAGGCCACCTGGGACCAGGCTGGGTCCTTGTAGAGTGTGGAGATGCACCTGGGCATAGAGGCAATTAGGGGCAGCGCACCCTGCCCCACCCACTCAAGGAGGCCTTGGCACTCAGTGCCCCTCCTAATCCCCTTGGAGGCAGGATCCCAGCACACTCTCAGGGACTCCACCACATCACCAGACACATTCCTGCCCCTTCAGGGATCTCCTTTACTCTGCACCCTATCTCACCTCACTTACCAGGTAGACCCAGAGACCCCACTCAGGTAGGTCACAGTGTCCAGGAGGCCAAGTTCCTGCAGCCCTGCCAGGCTGCCGTACAGGGAAGACATGGCCCGGGTTCCACCTCCCGACCCCAGCACGGCCACCACAGGCACCTGGGCACCAAAACAATGATAACAGTGACCACCACTGTCGCTCATGAATTACTGCTGATAATGTCAGACATTTATCTAAGAGCCATATATGTATTATCTCATTGAATCCTTACAGCAACCCAGTGGGATCTCCATTTTACAGATTAGGAAACTGAGGCACAGGAAGGTTGGACAACATGCCCACAATCATATAGGTAGTAAGTGATGGGCTATCAGACTGAAGCAGTATGACTCTAGAGATGGCTTTTAACGATTGTCCCAGGATCGTATGTAACGGGAAGGTATCCTGGATTTCACCCAAAACAATTAAAGCAGGGTTTCTTGGGCCTGACACTATTGATGATTTTGGACTGGGTCACTTGTTCTTGTGAGGAGCTGTCCTGTATGTTAGAGGATATTTAGCAGCATTCTGAGCTGTCACCCAGTAGATGCCAGTAGCATCCTCCTCCTCCCTCACCCACCCACCCCGGCCCTGGTGGTAACAGTAAAGCATGTCTTTAGACAGAGACAAGTGTCCTCTGGGGGGGTATGGGGGGGAGATGAAATGACCTCCAGTCGAGAAGCACTGGGCTAAAGTGATGACCACCATCAAAGAGCCTGGACCTGCCTCAGACATCAGAGGTGCCTGGGGGGCTCAGACTAGAAGCTTTCTGGCTGCTCAGCTTTTCCATGAAGCTTTAGCTCATTCTGCCCCCAGACTTTTGGTTCCTTTCCCTGCCCTCCTTCCTTCTGTCTCAGAAGAAATGCTCCCCGGCCAGTGCCTACAAGGACACTCACCCTTCGGAGTGCTGGAGAAGACAGCTCCCTGAGATCAAGACCTGTGCCCTCTTTACCCTCCACCTCCTGAGAGGAGATCCAGCACAGAGCAGTCACTACCAAATGAACAGTCTGGCCTTGCTCACCTTGTCAGCACCCGGAAGAGGCTCTGACTCCTGACTACACTTGTAGCGGGAGGAAGCCACCGACTTGTTTCTGATTTACCATAACTCTCTGCCTTGGTGTGACCTTTCCTCCTGCTTCCCAGCCATGGCTCCCATGGACCCTCCATTTCCAAATCCCTCTGTCTACTGTTATGGTCTGAACTGTGCCCCGCCCCTGCAAATCTATATGTTGAAGCTCCAGTGTGACTATATTTGTAGAAAGGGCCTATAAGGTAGTTATATAGGTTATGTAAGGTCATAACAGTGGGGCCTTTATCTAATAGTATCGGTGTCCTTGCAAGAAAGGGAAGATTCCCCCGTCATCACCTGTAAGTGCACAGAGGAAAGGCCACAAGAGGACACAGCAAGAACGTGGTTGTCTACAAGTTAGCAAGAGAAGCCTCACCAGAAACCAATCCTGATGGCACCTTAATCTTGAACTTCCAGCCTCCAGGTGAGAAGATAACTGTTTGCTGATTAAGCCACCCAGTCTGTGGTGCTCTGTTGTAGCAGCCCGAGGACACTCACTTATACCATCCTTAGCCAGGGCTGTTCATCCCTCGTTACATACAGGGTCCTGACTCTCCTGATTTTGCCTATCAGCTCAGGCAAACAGGCCTGCCCCTTCCTCCTTTGTTTCCCAACCTTTCTCAAGGCTTCCTATAACCACTTGGCCACACAGAACTCTCAAGGGAAGAGGCTGGTTTGGTCTTGGTGACCCTGGGGACGGCTCCTCCATTTCATACCTGGCCACTGTCAGGAGCCTGGCTCAATCCTAGCACCTGCTGCAGGGCCTTGGACACGATCTGCTTCCTCTTGTCCAGAAACTCTCGTTCCCCATCACACAGGCCAAAACCAAGACGCAGGTCAAGGTCTCCAGAGCTGGCAGAGATGTGGTGGAGGTGGGGTACTGGGTGACTGTTCATTGGAGGAGAGCTTGGGCCCAGCCCATTTTTCATAGGAGCAGACCCACATTCCATGGAACCCCTTAGAAAGACCTCACCAGAACCAGAGATGCCTTCCACCACCAGGCTGAGCTGAGTGGGCAAAGAGGCCCTACATATCCAGCTTAGCCTAAGAGCTTTCCTCCTGAAGTCAGCCTTCCTCACCTCATTTCTGCCTTCATACTCAGAATCACCTCCAGGCCCTGAAAGAGACAACAGACCCATCCCAGACTGCCCTGAGTGGGATTCTCCCACCTGCAGCCCCTGTTGCTCTTGTAGCTCTGGCCCGTATGTGGGCATTGTGGCTGAGCTCCAGGCTGGCCTGATCTTGATCCCCTCTGTGGCCCCTCCCCTAGCCTTCTTTTGGTGGTCACAGAATAAGCAGGGGTCCCTCAGGCACCCAGACAGAGCCTTACCTCCCCTAGTGCCACTACGCGCTGTTCCTCTTGGCCTTGGGCCAGAGAGGAGAGCAGGATGCCCCCCTCACCCAGCTTGCTGGTCTGGGCCTCCAGCTCAGCACTTGGACCACTCTGTAGAGAAGAAAACACCCAAGGAACCCTCCATGGTGAAGGAAAACGTGCCTCCGCGGTGGCCCCAGGATGCCCCTCTAGGCTGGACTGATTCTATTATCCACCTCTTCCCAGGCTATGGGCTCACTCACTTGCAGGACTGTGAGCTTCTCCCCCAGCTCCACATCCAGCCTAGAGCTGATCACCGGGTTCACATGAAAGGTGAAGGTAGCTGGGAGGCCTCCCTCCATGGTAGGTTGCAGAGGCAAGGACTGTGGCTTCTCGTAGGCCCCGGGCACTGTCAGCTGAATCTGCCTAGAGCCTGGGAGCAGAGGGCCCAGGTGAGGGGGTGAGAGTGGGGGTATGTGCATGGCTTATGACAGTAGCACCCTGGATAGCAACTGCCCTTTCTTTCCTCTTTGGAGATGCCAATTCATCATCCTGCTCACCCTGTGACCCACAGCAAAGGCATCATGAAGGACACTCAGGGTCCTACAACATACCCTGGTCAGACCTGGGAACCTGGGGAGAAGGAAACACACAATGCCTGGGGAGGGGGAAGGGCAGGGAGGGAGAGGACTCCTTGCCCAGAGTTAATGGGGCTGATGATTTTGAGATCATGATATTAATGATGTAAAATATAATCGTATAATAATTATAATGTTATAATTATCATACATGATTACATTAATTACCAAACTTCAACTGGTAGTTTCCCCATCTTTTGCCTCCATTCAGCTCTGTGCTCATCATCCTGGGGAAGGTGTGTGGCCAGGGAAAAAAACAAATAAGGCAACAAATCGTTCTGCCCTTTGTTTCCAAAATGTTAAGAACTTGGGGGAACACAGAAGGTGTGTAGTGGAGGTGAGAGGGAGAGGTGGGTTCACGGGTAGAGGCTCAGAGAAGCAGGCGGGGCCAGCCCAGGTCAGAAGGACACAAAGAGGGAGGCCTGTGGGCTCATCCTGTTCCTAGCAGCTTTCTCGGGAGGAGGCAAAATCCCAGAGAGAAACATGGATGACATTCAGACAGAGTGGACCCCAGGCAGCCTCACAAAAGAGCCCCAGACCCCCAACATGACTTGGGAGCAACAGACACCCAGAGAGTCCAGGATGGCAGATGCCTCAGAAATAAGAGGTCCACACGGAACCCTTCTCCCAACATAGGCTTCTTGGCACTAAATGAGACCTCAAGACATGACGTGACCCCAGGTGGGAGGGACTTAGAGAAAATAAGGAAGCTGATACTCCTTTCACACCACGGTTTATGGATGGAGATTGATGTGTGCTGTTTAGAGTCAGAAACAGTAGCCCCCGGAGTGTCACAGACCTGGGTTTGGCTCCTGGCTCTAGTACTCTCAGGCTGTGTGACCTGAAGCAAGTTTCTTATTTGAGCTGGAGCTTCATAAATGAAGAGGTTAATAGTTGTATTTTCCAGGATCGTTATGAGGATTAAAAGATAAAAGACATGTGAAATGCTGAGCACAGTGCCCGAGTCATAGTAAGTGCTGGACGTTTTCTGGACAGGACTCATCCCATGGGCTCAGACCCTCAGTATCAGAGGAGACCGTAGGTGTCACACAGCCTCTGTGCCGCTTTTGTGCCTGCATCTGAGTGGCTACCCTCTGTGGCACACTACACCAGTGGCCTCAGTTCTTCACTTCTGGAATTTCCATGCTTTGTCATGTGACTTCACTTCCGCCCACCGAGAGGCCAAAATGTTAGTTAGTGACTATGATGTAACCAAAGGTTTGAAAACTACCTGCTCATTTGGGCCTGCTCTCCAACCTCTGCTGATGCCTTATGGACATGACCAGCCCAGGGCACCAGGGTGGCTCAGTCGGTTAAGCATCTGACTTCAGCTAAGGTCATGATCTTGTGGTTCATGGGTTCAAGTCCCACATTGGGCTCTGTGGTGACAGGTCAGAGCCTAGAGCCTGCTTCAGATTCTGTGTCTCCTGTTCTCTCTGCCCCTCCCCTGCTTACTCTCTTTCTCTTAAAAATAAATATTAAAAAAAATTAACAACAACAACAAAAGAACATGACCAGTCCACTAGTCACAGAAGGTGGATGAGGGCCATATGGCACAAAGCCAGGTCATTCTTGCCAAGCCCAGACTAGATCACGATGTGTGAGCTTAATAAATGGCTCCTGTTGTCTGCCGCTGAGATTTAGGATTGCTTTTTGCAGAGCACTAGTACTGATACAGCTTCTATGCTTGAACACTTCCAGGGACAGGAAATTCACTACTTCCAGGGGCAAATCCGTTCCATCCTTGGTCAGCTTTGAGTGGTGAAACATTAAGAACTTTCTGCCTCAGACCTGCCTTCTTGAAATCAGCAGCCCAATCCCTAGGAGGCAAGACCCAAGGCCATGGACCAAACTCACCATACTCTCCATGTGGGGCTGTCTTGTCTTCCCTGAGCGTCCCCTGGATTTTCAGACAGGGCTGAGCCTGAGGAAAACAGAGGCCTGTGGGAGCCAACCATTCACAGGGCCCAGCCCAGGGTGGAAGGAGGGGTCTCTGGGGCAGGGCCCAGGTAACAACCTTCCCAGGGCCTGGGCCTTGTGGGTAGAAGTTTTCTGTAGCAACCTCCTTCCCAGGACTCAGAGGAAGTGGGCCTGGTGGGAAAGGGGAAGGAGGAGAGGAGCTCTGATAGCGGTGCCTTCGGCAGTCCCAGCAGCCAGGGCCCAAGTAAGGAATGTGCTTCGCACACGGGAGGGTGGTGGGCCTCTGAGCTGCCCGCTCAGTATGAGATAGCTTCTTGCCCCGGGTCCCTGGAGATGCCTCCCTAGCATACTTCCCCTCTCAGGAGCCTTTGAATGTCTTTCACAGCCAAGTGGGCAGGATAGGCTCAGTTATGGAGTTTGCATTGCCCTCCAGCCCTGGGCAGCCCCAAGCTTGCCTTCCCTACTCACCACCAGGACCCCGTTGGTGATGACTTCAGACGCAGGCATCTGGCTGCAAAGGATGAGGGGCTCATGGGACATCTGGCTCCCCTCGAGATGGCTGTTACTATAATATGTGACTGATGCCGCTGGAAGAGCCTGGGGATGATGGCCAGGTTTGGGGGTAGGAGTGGGTTTGTCATCAACACTCAAATTGGTGACTAGACTAGGATACTCCTTCATGGGCCAGGCCACCAGAGGACCTGGTGATTGACAGCTGGAGCTGTCCTGGAGTCTTGGTGTAAATGGGAGGTCATCGCCACCACCTGGACTCACCTGTTCTCCAGAACAAATTCCACCTGCAGCTCCTGTGAATCCTACATAGACCAAGCAAGGGAGCACCCATTTTCAAAGAGCTCTGAAAGCATCAGAGACTGTCCCTGCCCCCTACCCTGCTCGGCTCCAGAGACTAGAAGAAGTGACTGTTGTGCTTCTGATGGGCATAGGATGGGTAGTAGCATCTTCATGAGGAGGTTCATGCCTTCAAAACTGTGTGCCAGGCCCTGTTCTAGACCCTCAGTGTCAACTGAGCAGACTAAGCAGCAGTGACTAAGACAGACAAAGTGCTCTGCCCTCAAGGAGCTCACATGTTGGCTCCTCTCAGGGAAAACGTATTTGAGGGGAACCTTTGTAGGGTCAGTGGTGTAGGACAGAGGAGGGTCTGTCTTGGAGGCCTGGCCTGTGCTGACCAGGAGCCCTCACCTCGGTGCCCTGTGCCCAACTTCCTCTCCTTGAGGTCACTTCATTGCTGGCACAGGTGGGGTGGCTCACCTGGTGGTTGAGTGGGAAGATGTGTCTGTAGGGTTGGCCAGGCTTGAGGCTCCTCAGGTCAAAGAGTAGCAGGGAGAGCTGGTCACTGCTCAGGATGTCCTTATCACAGAGGGTGAGCTCCAGGACGTTCTAGGAACAGGGCAGGTGAGAGGTGGGGGCCTGAGGCAGGGCAGGAGGACAGGCAGGCCTCTCCGTCTGCTGGCCCTCACCTTCACAGCATCATGGATCTGGTAGTGGAAGATCTCGTTCCACTCAGGGTCACTGCAGTTGGCCACCATCCTTGTCTGGGCAGGGCTGGGGGATGCAGTGGGCAGGGACAGTTTCACGTAGCAGTCAGCTTTGGACACTGCAGGGGGTAGGGAGGGGTCCTCAGTCCTCTAGCTCTAGTTGCTGAAAAGGTTGCCTGGAGAAGGCTAGGGCAGGAGGGGAAGGAGCAGAGGAGGATGGCAGGCTGCCTGTGTGGGACAGGGACATGTGGGGAGAGCCACATGTCCTTAATTCCATCTGGACCAGTTACACCTCCCATTCAACTGAATCCTATAGTGGCCAGTTGAAAAGATCACGTGGCAGCACAGATCGTTGAGTAATTCCCTATAAGAGCCTGATTCAGGCATAGAACTCTCCTCCCATTGTGAGCGCTGGTGTGGAAAGCTGCTGGAGAGCAGTCATTGATTTCTGGCAAGAGCGGGCCTCACATGCCCACTCAGGCTGGCACTGCTCCACTTGCTAGTGTCAGGGAGGAGTCCAAGGTCTGCACAAGTCTCCCCTCCAGCCTTTCCTGCCTGCCGGCCCTGGGGCTCCCTCACCAGGGTGGATTCCTTCCATGGTCAGCACGAGCCCCTCTGCCCCACTCCAGATAAACACACATGTCAGGCCAGCCCCTGCTGAGCTCTGGGGAGCCCCTAGGGAATGGAAGAGGAGAAAGGGTGGAATTGGGGGTCACTCACACAGATCTGTGCCCTGGATATTTCTGGCCTTCAGCACCTTCACCTGGAGGTCATAGTATGGGTGGGTTTCCCGCTGAAACAACAGAACTCCAGAACTCAGTTCCAGGAAGCTGGGTAGACGGCCTGATCTCCTCCCTGCAGTAGTGGCCAGCGTAGCCTTCCTTCTTCCAATCACAGAGCAGGAGCCTGGCCCACAGTCATTGATGTTGCTGTGCGTGGGAGCTGAGAGGCCTTGGCAGGGCCCGGGGCATTGGGAGTTCAGCATGTCAGTGATGAGCCTGGACCTTGGAACCTGGCTAGGTTCAAATCTAAGTTCCACCAGGTACTAGTGGAATGGCCTTGGGCAAATTACTGGATTTCCCCCATGCTTTATTTTCCCCATCAATAAACAGGGATTTACAATCTCACAGGGTTGTGGTGAGTTTTAAATGAGAAGTTGTATAAAGTGCCTGGTGTAAGTGCTTCACACATGTGGCCATTGTTACTAATTAGGGTTATGATGCACCACAAATTGGCAGCTTCCCTATCATGCTGCTGCTATAGCTTGGGAGCCTAAGTGAGAGCTGGAGTGATGTATTTAGGAGATTAAATATTAGACTGAGAAAGCCAAGGTCCACCCCACCCATTAGCTCGCTGACAAAGGCCACACCTCCTAGGAGGCGGCAGGTGAAGAGAAACCAGGTGTTATCCATCTTGTACTGGTACGACTAGTCTAGTCGCTAAGGGGACAGAGGGATAACAGCAGGCTTCAGCCTCCTGGGAATGAGGCTGTCTCCTCAAAATCCCAGCAAACACCTTCCTCATTTCCCCTGAGGGGCTTTCCAGCCAGGCTAGGGCATTCTGGGCAACAGCTTCAAGTAGCACATGACCTCACTCTCCATTCCTAACTGGGGAGGGTGGGGGGGTGGAATTATTCCCAAAAGCCAAGGTCTCGGCCAACCTCTTTAAGCTCTGCAAGGTTGGCTAGAGTAAGTTGGTCCCAGCCCAGATCAAAACCCAGTCCCGGGCTAGCCTCAGTCTTCACAGTGGACTGAGCTCCCAGGACTCCTGCAGTCCACACTCCCCGGGGAAGATCAGGTACTTTACCCGCCATTGCCTCCACTGAAGTCCCCTCTTCTCTCTCTTCCGCAGCAGCACTGCCCCCAGAAGGGGCAGCCCCTTCCCTGCCAGCCACCTTGGCCAGAGTGCCCAGAGCATGGCCAGGCAGCCCAGTTCTCAGCAGAAAGCCCGCCTGCTTTCCAGAGCCACTTGGCTCTCCTCTTGACTACACTCACTGCTAGCTCAGGTCTGACGGTACCACCAAGGTGGGGAGGGTGGAGCTGGCCGCTCATGGGAGGACTCAGGGTTGGGTCGCCTGCTGGGGCTGGAGGTGGAGTTTGATGTGCTCCAGGAAGTGACTGGGGCCCAATTCCCTGAGGCAGGAGGGACTTTAGTCCCTCTCCAAGAAGATGAGGAACTGGGAGTCTGGTTCCCAAACCCAGCCTCTGGTTATTATTGGGCTGCTCATGGAAAATAGATACCTGAGCGTCACCCCCTAGGTCATTTGACTGAGTGGGTGTGAGGAAGTGTTCATATTTCTAATCAGCCTTCTAGACAATGCTGATGCAGCACGCCCAGGGAATGGAAGCCAGGAAGTGCTGCCTTGGGGCCTCTTCTCCCCCAGGTACAAAGTCCTAAAACCATCTGCCTTCCAAGTCCCACCTTCCCCATGGCTCTGAAGCAGGTACACGGAAATCTCTGGTTCAGTTTTATCTGGACTCAAATGTGTTTCTAATCTCTTGTGGCCTCCCTCATTTATTCTCCCAACACTGACAGTGTGCTGTGTACCAAACCTGTACTAGGGCCTGTAACCAAAGGTGAGGAGGACCCAGCCATATCCTGAGGAAATTCGCAGCAGCTTTTGCCCAGGCCCTCTTCCTGGGTGGGGAGATGTGACTGGATGGTCCCAGTATACGGGTAGGGATACAGTCAGGTGGTATTAATAGGGACAGCTTAAAAAGCAGGTCTGCCTATCCTTAAGCTCCTAGAAATAAGGCTTTAGAGGTCCTCTTTTGACCACCGTAAGCCTAAGGCTACAGACGGTATGTGACGTCCCCTCTTCTGTGGACCACGACACTCTAGATGGTGTTTTTCCATCCAGGCAGTTTCCGGAAGAAAAGATCTCTAGGATAGTGACATGATGGGAGATAATTTATAGTCTTCAACCAAGACTTAGTCATCTTCACTCTCCTCCCCAGGGCCTGAGGTGGAGACTGAAAAAACAACAACGAAAAAAGAGGTGATTCAATTCCAAAATGAACACTGTAGGCAAGTTGAGAACAGAAACTCAGAAAAAAAGAGGATGACTGCCAATGGCCAGCCCCAACGGGAAGGCCTATTTCTGCTTAACTTGGGGCATGAGGCCAAGACCTGTGCTGAGATCTCAGAAATGCCTGAGTGTTGCCCCGTTGGTGGTGTCCACACACAGCATGCAGAGGACCCGTGGATCCACACCAGAGGTGCCTGAGTAAGGGCATGGAGCTGGCTGGGGCAGACACAGCAGCCTGGTGTCCCATCTCCTGACTGATGTGTTTCCTGGGCTGTCCAACACTCTCTCCTGGAAGTCACATGCCCTTTGCCTCAATAAAGCCATGCTTTAGTTCCAGATGTTTTTCATTCTCAGAGGACACTCAGGATGACCAGAGATGGCTAAAGAGAGGGACACAGAAGGACCAAACTGCCTTTTTGGAGCTGGCCAAAATGGACCAACCCGTCTCCACTTCTCAAACATCCTTCGGTCATTCCATCCCACCGACTCCATACGTTTCAGGACTCTCCCGGCCACCAGGAGCTGCAGTAAGAGGCACGAGGCCCTAATGTGTGAAGCTGGAAATGTTCTATACCCGTGCTGTCAAACCATCAGCCGCCACAGCCACGCTAGCTGTGCTGGACCGTGCAGACCGAGACACACGGGCCACGGGTGTTCTGTCTTTTCTCTTTGTCATGAATTGGCTTATTCTGCTCAATTCTTAGCTACATCATTATCTTCTCATTGTTATCTCCATCAAATTCCATAGGAAGCAGGGGAAAGAGATCCAAACAGGCTGGTTTCTTACTTTATGATGTTTATTACGAGAGATCCTCAAGAGTCATTACAGAGTTTCGTGGCTAGCCTTCTCCACATCTCCACAGAGGGCAAAGAGGGTCCAGGGAAGGAAGAATGGAGTTTGGGGAAAGCTGAATCGTTTTTATATTCCAGAAGGAAGAAAACACGCATTCTTTACTCTATTCCTTCAAACACATGTGCCACACAGGTCGAGGGAATGGCAGATACAAACAGAGCAGGCCGGGAAGCCCGGGTCTGCATGACGGGCGAGTCTCTGCTGCACAGAGGAAGGCTGGCCTCCCGACCTCACCGCTGCTTCCAGGGAAGCTCCTTCAAACCGGCAAACAGGTCCGAGGGCAGCACTGCTTCTAGTGGACTTGGTAGGGCCAGCTGGGACCTGGCTCTCCTGAAGCACTGTGCTGCCTCCCAAACCTGAGAAGAGCCCCCCGTGCATGCATGATGCTGAGGGCCTGCGCTCTGTCCCTGCGGACCCTCCACGGACAGTGCCTGGGAGGAGCCTAGTCTACTACACCAGCAACTCAGCCTACAACACAGGCCCAAAGCGGCACAGTGCCGTGGGCTGAAAAGAACCGTGGCATGTCAGGGACAGGTTACTAAAACACTGTCAGGGCCGGGCACCATCCCCCACCTTCACCACCATTAAAAACACAGCAGTGACAAGGCTGAGTGTCTGTAGAATCCCATGGAGGACAGGATACAGGGCCGCTCTCCCCGTATGTCCTCCGCCTGCAAGGCTACACACTCCTCCTGTCTGACTCTGGTGCCCCGTGAGGTGGGGGGGGTCTCCCTGCCCCCTAGAAGTGCTCCATGAATCTGGTAGGGAGTGACTTCATAAGCCCACGTGCTGCCGCCGCCTCCTGCAGCGCCCTTGGCTGTCCCCGGGGACCTCACAAACATGCTGACGTCATGTCCCTGTCCGTTCCTGATGTGATCAGTCCTGTGTGTAGCAGAGATCCACCCACCTACAACAAGCCAGCGCAATCCTCCATCTCCTGCAAAAAAAAGCTGGAGAACAATGGCCAGGCCAAGCTGCAAGGTAAGTGGGCCACACTGGCTGCAAAGGGAAAGGTGCCCGAGGCACAGAGCTCTCAGCTCACAGACTAAACCAACCTGCCCTGGGCGGCTGGTGGGTGAACCAGGAGCGGGAGTCCCCTTGGATGTCCCCTCTAACAGGTCATATAGCCAGTGCAGGCCATCCTTAGAGCCACCGTCCTGAGGGACGGAGGATGACGCTCTCCTAAGCCTCTAAGCATAGAGCTCAGTCCAAGGAGGATCTATTTACAATAAACCTGACAATCAATTATCAATGTATCCTGGAAACAGAGACTTCTTCTTGCTTCTCATTTTACCTTGTTTAAAATATTAGTTATTTCTCGTGTCGGGAAAATGGGAGACAAAGCCTGGGTGGAGCAGTGAAGGGAGAGATAAAGGAAGAAAATAAATAGTGAGAAAGAAATGGAGACTGAAACATAAAGGGGAGACTCCCAGGAGGACACAGGGTGTGGCGACTACGGAGAAATGACTGTCATCACCTAGAGAGCCAGTGTCCGGCCTACACAGGGAGAAGAAACCTAGGACTGTTACCTTCCAGACCTCAGGCCAACCGCGCAGGGTGCTCTGTGCTAAGTCCTGCGTGTGCCTTCACAGAAAACTCTGAATAAACAATCTCAGGGTTATGAACACTTAAGACACTTTCCCTGTTCAGGTAATTGGTGTGCAAAGGCAGGACACTGCCCTTCCCCACCTCCTCCCATCCACGCAGGTAGTAAATTCTCTGCAATTGCCTGCAACATAATGGTATGTAAGGTATAGCTAATCTCTTTTTTCTATCAAAAAGCTGGTAACACCAGACCACAAGTCTGATAAATTCAGAGATGTGCCAGGGCTCAGGGTAGCCAGTAGTGTCCAAATGGGGAGACACTTGGTGGTGGAAGCAGCGCCTCTTTTCTAAGACCGGTGCTCCTTCCCCTCTCTGGGATAGCTGAACCGTCCATCTGAAGAATTCCTGGCATGCTGGGCTCAGGTGTCAGCTGGGTTTACCTCTTTGGAACAGAAGTAGTGCACAACCACGCCATTGGGGTATCTTGCAAATGCACTGTAGGGAGGGAAAGCCATTCAGGACTGAGGACCACCTCTAAGAAAAGGCGCCTTATCCATGTGCCACCCCAGAAGCGGCCCACCCTAACCATGAGGAAAGGCCCACCCTGAGGTCTTCTGGATTTACATAGTCACCATCTCTCATATAACCAAACAGAGGATGAGCTCCATGCAGTTTGAAGGCATGGGAAGGTTTCTAATTAAGTCATCAATGTGAAATATAGGGCAGATGGAGCAGAACACTGGCCTGAGTCAGCACCAGCTTATGCAGAGCTGACAATGCTCATTAAAACAAGTTTCAGGCCAATTCTAACAAAAGACAGAAAGTAAGGTCTTTCTGGATTCTTCCACCCACGTAAGAAAAAGGACAAAGCACCCTGCTCTGCAGGAAAGGGGATGGACTAGAGTATATGCTTTGAAACACAATGATGCTGGCTCAGGATTTTACTCAAGTCTTCTTCTTCCTGCAGAGGCACATCCTTAAAAGACTTTCTGCCCACATACAATTCACATACACCCACTGACTACAGCACAATGCCTAGATGCCAAAAGGGAAGGGGTTTATAGGTAAGAAATCAAGAGCCCCATGCCATTTCAAGTCTTTAAATCCTCAAGCCCACCTGCAACAGACAATACGGACTGCTTTCTGGAGCCTCAAGAACTACCTGTGGCCAAGACAGCAGCCCTGCTTTCCCCCGCAGTTAAAGGGCAGAAGTCCATCCTGAGCATGATGTGCTGAAACTGCACAGCTGGGGAGGAGGCTCACCTGTTCCCAATCTTCTTCTTACACACCATACACACCTTCTCCTCTGTGATGATGCACTTCACCTGCTGGTGTAAAATCCTCTCTTCCTGGACCTGGGGGAGCAGAAAGACTGGGAGAGAAGCCCCACTGTCCAGTATACACAGTACCAACCAGAGGCTGGCATGGTCTCATTTCCCAGCTCCCACAGAGGCTTCTAACTGCAATACTTGCAACTACATGTCAAGTTGG